GCTGGCTGGGGAATTCTGGGAGTTGAAGTCCACTCATCTTAAAGTGGCCAAGTTTGGACAACACTGCCCTAGACCAAGGGTGGGGAACCAGCTGCCCATCAGATCCTGGTTGGGTTCCCTGTCATCATTCCTGACCAGGCTGCAGCTGGAAGAGTTGAAACCTCATGGCGTTGGGTGCGCCAGAGAATCCCCATCTCCCTATGGCTACCGATCAAAAACCAGGGGAGCCGCGGCATCTTTTCCTCAGGAAATTGATTTTTCTGCATAGAGAATAATGATGGAAGGGGGATGGGGCAACGCTGAGAGGATGGAAATAGAAGGTGATGATGGTGATTGCATTGGCCGGGGCTTAGCGTCTGAATGGCCCCGATGAACATTCCTTGAACAGGGCTTCCAGCTGAAACTTCGGCGGGTGCACTCCACAGGGATTGTGCCAACAGGAAACAGTCCAAATGCTTCTGAGTCCAAGCCAAGCAAGAAACTTCCTCACCAAGATAAAGCAACATCCATCTTCCATGCCAAGCCAAGCCAGGTCGGGCAAGTTAGCCAGATCTCCGGCGACTATTCTGCCCAAGGTAAAAATAAACAGACAAGTGCGTGTCTTTGTAGGTGTGAGAGACCGAGTGTGTTGGCTCAGCCAGCACCAGGTCATTTAATCCAGAACTAGTGAGGATGCTGTGCTGAGAGTGAGCGACTGGCCATGCTGCCTGCGAATTTAGCCAAGTTGCAGGCTTTGCCTCTGGGGGGCACCAGGCTGGGCAAGGCTGCCCTCACCCACCCTGGTGACCAGTGGGAGTGTCCAGACCTGGCTTTCACACTGAAATTGGGAGGGATGGACTGGAGCAATAGCCCTCCTAATTCTTCAGTCGAGTTTCCTTGGGGCAGTGTTTCTCAACCTTAGCACCTCTAAGATGTGTGGACCTCGACTCCCAGAATTCCCCAGCCAGTTGAGGTTCACACATCTTAGAGTTGCCAAGGTTGAGAAACACTGCCTGGGGGAGTTTCAGTGATAAAACTCTCAAACATCATCATGTTGGGCAACCAGTCAGTCATTTTTTTCCAGAAGCAGCAGCCAAATGAATCCGTTAAACAGGTAGATAACGTAAGACCTTTAAGTATTATCAAAACATCTGACAGGCTGAATTTGCACAACATGACATGCTATGTGGTTGGCTACAACAGATGGCAGCACCTGGTGACCTCAGGCGTTCTTGGAGAAAGCTAAGAAAGGTGGGGCTGGTTTGTGCTTGAATGGGAAGAACGCAGGAAAGTCCAGGCCATGGGCCAGACTCGGAAGGCCAGAAAACTCTGGAAGAAGCCAGAGGCAAAGCCCTTCTGTTTTGCTGCCGAGAAAACCATGTGGGTTTGCCCGGCTCGATTGGGGGAAGACTTTTAAACTGGGGCTGCTTTGTGCTGGGGACACCGAGCACTTGGATTACTTCAGTAAGTTGTAAATCAGGAGGAGTCTGGCAGCACCATTTCAGACTAACCCATTTTATTGAAAGGCAGCAGCTTTTGTGAGCTGTGGGCAGCTTCAGCAGAGGCATGGAATGAAATGAGGTAGGATTTAAATAGGGATGAGGCCAACAGAGGACAGGGCAGCTACACAGATGCAAGTTCCATGTGAGGCAGATTGCAAGCACTTTATCAATTAACAACTGTGATGTGTTAAAAACCTGTTGTGTTTGCTGAGACTTTGAGATTGCCCGAAATCTCTTGATGTGTGTGAACTCAGCTCAGTTAATGAAGTAATGACTTTAACACCCTAATTTTGCAAAAGAATTAACGGACACAAATTTGAACCAGGACTCAAAACAAAGACAAAGTAGATTGGAGTGTTTCACCCTCCTGGGACACTCTGTGGCAGATCTCGAGGTGAGCATTTTGGAAAAAAGAGACTTTACCACCACGAGCGAGCGAGAGATCGAACCGTTCCGGCTCCGTGTGTCTGACGAGTCCCAACGAGGAGGAAACCGGCTGTGCGCTGCCAACTGGTGGTCAGGGCCGCTGAAAGCATCGCACAGGATAGACACTGGGTAAAAAGGGAGAAATTCCTCCCACACCTGAGGGGAAGGGGGAAGTCATGTAAAACTTTGTAGAGGGGGATGTGACAGAAGAGAGAGAGAGAGAGATATCTATCCAGAGAGAGATATC